TTTTTCTTTTTGTATATAAAATTGAAAATCTAAAAGAAGTTTACATATTATCAAATAGTAATTAGTACACGGTGTGTCTGTAGAAACTAATTAAATACATCCCTAATCCTTAATTAAGTGTGCATAATGTGCGTATAAAAATAAATGCTGAATTTTCGGTTTCTTATCTGCCGCCCCATTTCTAGCATTGGTTGTCGGCTGACGAAGTCATTCTTTAGCTCCTCACACCCTGTGATTTATTTATTGCACAGCTACCGCAGAAATACAATAAACAATTACAAACAGGTACTTGTTCATTGTATACGAGTATATTTTGCTGCAAAATAAATTTTCAAACAAAACGACATTATACCACAGCACTTTCGAGTAAAAGACGTCAACAACCTCTTTCAGAACACATAAAATTTTTAAGTTGAGATTGGTTTCCGAATGTCATTTTGTTTGTAGTTTTTTTGTGAGAATTCGAAAAAGACAAAGGCATTAAAGTAAAGAAAACTGAAGTAACTGTGGCATACTGTGACCAGGTCATAGCGGTGTGAACCAGCTAGGGGGCGTTTTCGTCAGCGGACGACCCTTGCCGGATTCGACCCGACAGAAAATCGTCGAATTAGCCCATTCTGGAGCCCGGCCCTGTGATATTTCCCGAATACTCCAGGTCTCCAACGGGTGTGTTTCCAAAATTCTTGGAAGGTGAGTTTATTAAATGTACCCTCTTTAGTCTCTACCGAAAGGGCAAACAAAAGTAATTATATACGTAGAATAATCATTTTTGGAAAGCTTTAATTTTTATCTTCCGAAAAAAAGCTAGTTTTATCGAGAAATCAAGCAAAATCTGGGTTGTAAAAATTTTATTGTATATAAAATCAACGCTGACTTTTCACCTTTGTTTGTGAGGTATCCTAAAACATAATACCAGACAAAAAGCTGCATTGTTTTGAAAAAGTTTCACAAACGAAGAAGAAACGTCGGTGTTTGTTTTGTATCATTAATTTATAATCCTAATTTGGTTTGATTCGTTCCAATGTATGATCTTCTATTTGTTGTTTTACCCATACTCTAATTAATAATATCCACCCCGTCCCTATTAGTTCTTCTGCGAAATGATTTTGGTATTCAGTATCTTTTCTACTGTTTGGTTATAATGAGTATAAATGAGTATCACCCGTCTACCATTTATTAACCTTCGAATATCTGAATTGACAAAAATTCCTTGCATCAGCTTCTAGGTTTTAGATAAAGTTAAAAACTTCTTATAGAGATAATTAAAACTTGACAAGGCCGAACTTACAGGAACACTTTCTTTAGATTAAAAGTGTGCATCAAAAAATTTTGTGTTATATCTATAAATGCAGCAGTAATGTCTTTATTAAAATTTGAATAATTTTTGCCTTTTTCTTAAACATAAGTAATTGCAAACTGTAAGTGAATTAATAGATTATATTTGATTAGGATAAACTACCTTGCATAGTGGACCTCAAAACCTGTAAGAATTGATAAATGATTGAATTCCAAAAATGACCATTTGTCTATTACAACTATTTGTATTCTCTTTATACAGGGTGTAACAGAAATAAGTGTGGATCTTTCGAGGGTGTAAAATAGATGCAACAAATAAACAATAGCTTGGTGAATTCCATAGCGTGGTCAAGGAAAAAAAATTGAGACAATCGCAATAATTTACAATCTGAAGCCGGTCCTGTAAGTGAATTGGCAACATAGGTGTCTCCAAATAGTGTGCAGCTACATCGACGAAAAATGTAAACATTATCGGTTATCGAACGTTTAAGGTAAACATAAACAATTGATCTGGATAATTGTAATTTAGAGACAAATTACCACATCAATGAAGGACTGCCAAGGCGTGTTACCCTTATTTACAGGTGGTTGTAAATAACCTTACCAAACACGTAAATAATTATCATGTCAGATTATTATAGCAACAACTATTGATGTATTGCTGAATCAGTTTGCTAAACTTCACATCAATTGCCTCTTTATAGGTTTAAACACTTGATCTAATCTAACAAATAACTAATACATGAGCAAAAAGTACAAAGCAAATACTACACCGATGTATTTCTTTATAAGAGCCGGAATTAAAGTACCTGTACTTTTTTCTACGGTTTTCTTTCGGACATCCAAACATTCACTTAATTTTATTATTTTACAATGTCCTATCACCTCTTGCAAACTCCGAACTTATTTCTGTTACTTACACCCTGTATTGCATCAGAATAAGGGTAGATTACTTTACGTTTTTAATTGATTTCTCATTAGTTTATTAGATGGGTGAATGCAGTGTTATTATTTGATCAATTTGAGTTGTAGGTATTACGAAACGGGTTCGATACGGCCGAGAGCGATCGGTGGTTCGAAGCCGCGTGTGGCCACAGCGGAGGTGGTCGCCAAGATATCGGCGTACAAGCGTGAATGTCCATCGATATTCGCCTGGGAAATACGGGACCGGCTCCTGCAGGAAGGCGTCTGCACAAACGACAACATTCCAAGCGTAAGTCCTTTTCATTAAATTCAATTTACATCAAACTAACTAATGAACATGTATATTTAATAAGACACGTATGTGACGATTGATCTTACCGATTCTTTCACGTGTAATGTCCGCTACTCCTTGATGAGTTTGACACGATCGCACACTAATGAAGCAAACTCTTCCGTTAGAGCAGTTTTCAAGAACGTAAAAATTAGATTAATTACTTATGAAGAAACAACCGTTGACTTGCCTAACTAACTCTTTACTTTGTCAACTCCAATAAAGTATAATATATTGGGGTTGGCTTTTATAAATATGAGAGAGGGGGGAGGAAGGAAAAGATATTCATTATCATCATCGTAATGTCGTCAGTCCTTGGTCCTACTGGTTGGACTCGCACCTCCACTCTTTCTTATCCTGAGCTAGTCTTCGTATTTCCCTAAAACTATAGGGTTGTTCGGAAAGTCATTTCGTTTTTTCTTGTGGAAATGAAAGACAGTTTTCGTATAATAAACAAATACTTTATTAAATTATATATTGACCGTTCTGGTCCAACACCTTTTGCCATCTTTCTGGTAGTAGCATAATTCCACGCTCATAAAATTTTTGGTCTTTGCTGGCAAAAAACTGATCGAGGAGGTTTTTGACCTCCTCATTTGAGGTGAAGGTTTTACCGTCTAAAAAATTTTGGAGTGACCGGAACAAATAATAATCCGATGGTGCCAGGTCTGGAGAATATGGTGGGTGTAGCATTGTATCCCATTCAAGCTGTAAAAGCTTTTGGCGAGTGACCAAACTTGTGTGAGGTCTCGCGTTGTCTTGGTGAAACACTACACCTTTCCTGTTGATTAGTTCTGACCTTTTCTGTTGAAGTGCATCATTCAGTTTGTCCAGCTGATGACAGTAGACTTCCGAATTAATCGTTGTGTTATCCGGTAAAAGCTCAAAAAAAACGATTCCTTTAAAATCCCACCAAACAGACAGCATCACCTTTTTTTGGTGAATATCGGCTTTGGAAATGGTTTGAGCCGGTTCATCTTTTTTGCTCCATGACCTCTTGCGTTTGACGTTGTTGTATACAACCCATTTTTCGTCCCCAGTGATGATGCGCTTCAAAAACGGATCATTTTCGTGACGTTTGAGAAGCGAATCGCAGACGTCAATGCGGCGACACAGATTTCTCTCTGTGAGAACATGGGGAACCCATACATCGAGCTTCGAGGATAATCCCAGGCCTTTCAAGTGGTCATAAACTGTTGAATTTGATAAATTTAACCTCAATCCGATCTCACGTGTTGTTATTCGCCGGTTCACATCAACTAATGCCTTTATCGCGTCTTTATCAGCTTCAACCGGCCTTCCCGAACGTGGTGCATCTTCGACATCAAAATTGCCGGATCGAAATTTAGCGAACCAGTTCTGGCACTGGCGTACTGTCAACACACCTTCTCCATACACATCAGTCAATTTCTTTCTGGCTTGAACAGCATTTTTACCCTTTCTGTAGTAAAACAGTAAGATATGTCGAAAATGCTGCTTATCGCTCTCCATATTTAAAAGGGCACCAACCAAAAACTACTGCGTAGAATTAATTGGAATTTTTCACACACAAGCCTTGCTATATGAGCTCTCAAAGCATATAAAAATTATACGGCTTAAATGTGAAGTTGGGTGCAAAAGAATACAATTAAATCCTCTGTCGGGAAAAAACGAAATGACTTTCCGAACAACCCTATAGAACAACTCACTTCCTTAACTATTTGCGAGCAGTAATCTAATCTAGGATCTATCTCTACCCCTCCTAACTCCGATTTCTGCCTCTCATATGTCTCTGACTAGACCTTCATGCTTGAGAAGTTGTCCTACCAACCTATCTCACCTATTTCTTCTTGACTTCTATAGAGTCCTCTGTTCTCCTATTCTTTCTAATACCTCTTCATTTCTAACCTTCTCTATCCACGGTACCGTTATCATTCGCCTGTAAACGCTTCTAACCTTTTCTTTTCCGACGCGCCCACTATCCACGTTTCGCACCCGTACAATGCCTTGCTCCTAACATACACCTTTAACAATTTTTTTTTGAATTTCTAAATTAACCGTTCACAAGCATAGTAGTGACTTCTTTTATTGAAGACGACTCGACCCTGCATTACCCTCTGCCTTATATCCCTACTACTCCTTCCGTCCTGAGTTATCTGAAAGCGGATTAACAAAACAATATTTAATTGAAGTTATTCCATAAAATTTTGCTATTCTTAATGCATAATTAGTGTACTAGCATGATATGGTGATGCAGAACAATTGAAAGTTCTCTCCAAATAAATTTCAATTTTAAATGAAAATTGTGTATGTACATGTACGTCTGCTATCAGGCCACAAAAACTACCCTACATATTCTTCTTTTAAAGGGTAAAAAAATTTACCCTGACGATTTATGACGATAATGATTACCCCTATAATTGCTCCATGTTATATTCACGTTCTCACACAAATAAATCTACAATCCATTTATTATCTTTGTCTTTTGGCACATTGAGTTACGAAATGGGAGAGTAGATATGTGCTCATTTTGGATAATATTTACACTTGTTAGCGCTACTGTACGTATATAGAATTTTGTTTTCCAACCACCCCCGTCACGTTGGGCTCATCGGCAATGAGACATGCGAAAGACTCCCGAAGGGCTTACTAACGGCATGGCGACAGACCGGGATGGAACATGTGTACAGATGATAGGTATGGCACTGGCGGGGTGAACGAGGGTCTTGTCGTCGTCACGCAGGTTAAACTGATGATTACAAACTGATTAAAAGGGAGAAAGCGAGAGGGAGATGGGGAAAAAGCGGGGGTGGGAATGATGATGATGTTGTTATGATAGGGGTCTTAGTTCTGGAGCTATTAAACGATCTTGACGTTTAGCTCGAGCATTATATGATTGATAGCGTCTCTCCAGATTGGAGAATATCTATCCAAGTTGCACGACCCCGTTGCCGATGATGGGAGTGCAACTAATGGAGAAAGGAAACGGTGTAACGTTACAAGTTTCCGAATATTTGGGGCTCGTTGACGAATAATTAGCGGAGGGGTAGTTTTTTGTTATAAACACGTGGATTATTGAACAAGTTCGAGTACTACCACGCAACAACATGAAGTACCGGAAAGGCAATTGAAACAAATGCCAACAAACAAAGTTTCATTGCTCAAGGCACTACTACTTCACCAGAGTTTAGATTGCCATACAAAATAGGAAAATTAAAGCGTTCTTTAAATTTACAATCCAATAAGATTAAACGTAAACGTATTTAGTAAATTAATTAATTATTACATGAAAAATTGCAGTTTTGTAGGTGTTGAAAGACATTTGCGTGTGGAATTTTGGGATTTAGTAAGTCTATGATTAAAATGGGATGTGATCAATGATTTGATATTCGATTACATTATTCAAAACATCTTTTTACTCCTAAGTATTCAATAAGCAATTGTTTAATTACCAAAATCCAAACAAATTGTTACAAAATAATAAAAGCCAGAAGGTTTTGTTAATCAAAACTCGAAACACCTCATTGACGTTGCAATCAGGTTTTTTCTGAACCAGTGGCGTACTCATAAGGAGTTAAAGGAACAACAAAGTTTTTAAAACGATTATTTAACTAATATTGGTGCTATTTATATGATTTTGAATATCTCAAAATTTCGTTGTGGGGTTTAGAAATTTATCTAAAAGTTTTTCTGCCAAAAAAATCTTAACTAAACCTTTACTACTGTTGATGTAAATTATGAAAACTTCTGATGTATTATAAATGCATTTTTTTACTTGCGCTTAAACCATCTTAAATATACATTTTATACTGATATGCAAGGGAAGAAAAAGCAGGGCAAGGGCGAATATAAAGATAGGAGAAGAAAAATTAGAAGAAGTGGCTGATTTTAGATACCTAGGAAGTCAGATAAGTGAGGATGGAAGGAGTAGTAGGGATATAAAGCTGAGGATAGCGCAGGGTCGTGTCGCCTTTAATAAAAAGAAGTCACTTCTATGCTCGCGAACGGTTAATTTAGAAATTCTAATAAGGTTGTTAAAGGTGTATGTTTGGAGCACGGCGTTGTACGGGAGCGAAACATGGACAGTGTGAGCGGCGGAAAATAAAAGGTTAGAAGCGTTCGAAATGTGGTGTAATAGGCGGATGATGAGGATATCGTGGGTAGAAAAGGTTAGAAATGAAGAGGTATTGCAAAGAATAGGAGAAAAGAGGACTCTATGGAAGTCAATAAAAAATAGGCGAGATAGGTTGGTAGGACACCTTCTTAGGCATGAAGGTCTAGTCAGAGACATATTAGAAGCAGAAACGGGAGTTAGGAGGAGTAGAGGTAGACCTAGATTAGATTACTGTTCGCAAATAGTTAAGAATGTGGGCTGTTCTAGTTTTAGGGAAATGCGAAGTTTAGTTCAGGATAGGAAAAAGTGGAGGTACTTGTCCAACCAGTCTTAGGACTGACGACCTTATGATGATGATGGTGGTACAGTTTTGGTCACTCTTATCCAAAATTTCACAGATGTATCGATGTTTAAAACGTATTTCAACACCCAATGAGATTTTAGATTAATAAACACATTTGTGGACTTTTGTATAATAGCGCTTCATTTGGTTCAATTATACAGACTTCCATTTGATTTTCTTGTACATTTTTTGTTGTTCTGTTCCTTAGTCCGTCCCTGTTCGTGCCACGTCCCGTGTATAATATATTTGAAAAGAGTGGCAGAGTCGCTAGTCTTCTTTTACTGGATGCATGCAAATTTCCATGGAAACGTCCCCACGCCCCTCTGTCTTTCAGAAAACAAAAACGATATAGATTTTTCCCTCAAAATAGGGAAAACGCTTTCTTATCCGCGAGACTACGTCGGTGTGATGACGGTGATGATAACGGCGACGTTTTCGATTCTAAAACGTTGACGAAACGTGCGCGCAGGGTGGCCGGGGACGTAACGGTGGTGCAGGGGAGAAACGTCGGGGAGAGCGAGG